CTCTGATGGTCCTCTGGTGGTCCTCTGGTGGTCCTCTGATGGTCCTCTGGTGGTCCTCTGGTGGTCCTCTGGTGGTCCTCTGATGGTCCTCTGGTGGTCCTCTGATGGTCCTCTGGTGGTCTCTGATGGTCCTCTGATGGTCCTCTGGTGGTCTCTGATGGTCCTCTGGTGGTCCTCTGGTGGCCTCTGATGGTCTCTGGTGGTCCTCTGATGGTCCTCTGGTGGTCTCTGATGGTCCTCTGGTGGTCTCTGATGGTCCTCTGGTTGTCTCTGGTGGTCCTCTGATGGTCCTCTGGTGGTCTCTGATGGTCCTCTGGTTGTCTCTGGTGGTCCTCTGATGGTCCTCTGGTGGTCTCTGATGGTCCTCTGGTTGTCTCTGGTGGTCTCCGGACTCCTCTCAGTGTTTTTGATGTTGGTTCTTGACTTTGTAAAACCAGAAATAGAACCTTTGTATTCTAGACCAGGTGGTAAAATGATGTTAAACACGTCAACAGATGTTTGTTTGTTTGTTTGTTTGTGTTGTAGACTGACCCTCTGCTGTGCTTCTGTTGTTTCTTAGTGTCAACCACGCAGAAGCCAGTGGTTCTGGTTCTGATGCATCACACCAGAGACCCAGAATACTCAACTGAAGGAACTAAATGGTCTGAAGTTTATAAAAAAGTCAAACATGATGTTCATGTTTTCTACCATGAGACCCAGCCAGGACTGCTGCCCTGTAAACACAACAAAGACACAATCAGTCTCTTACAGCAGTACTTGTACAAATACAGTAAATAAGTTCTGAACTGGTTGAATCTGTCTGATCCTGGATTCTTATGGTTATAATAATTAAAGATATTAATTGTTGAGATAACACTCATGATTTATGAGCCATCATGGTTTGGAAAACAGAGAAACAAAAACTGGACTTTCTGATCCACCTGGGCTCAGTTCTGGTTCATCAGAACCTGCAGAGTTCTGACAACAGGTTTTACCTCCAACCTTCTGGTTTCTGGTTCTGACACACAAACCTGCTTCATGTTTCAGAAAGATCAAATG